ATTTAAACTTCCTCTAGTCATCGATTTGAGAAAAATGTGGGTGATTTGGGATGAATGCAACACCAGGATCTTTCAAGACAAAGAAAAGACTATGGAAGGCCTTTTTGATGTAATCCTTTTTATGGCTCTTCATTGGTGCAAAAAATGAACACCCCTTTAGTCATTACAGTTTAAATTCTCTCCTATCCAATTGGAGAAGATTTTTATACTCCTTTTGTAACATTTCATATCATCAATAAAATTGTTTCCTATCCAAAACATTTACAATTGCATCAATGAGATCTGAAAGTACAACTCTTCAAATACATACAAATATTTACATTCTTTTTAATGTTATTGTGGATTTTGCAGGCAATTCCTTCTAGTTCCTCTCGGCCTTCTCTTGAACTCCCTCCAACAACACCTTCACCAAAGGTAATTGAGCATCTACCTGTCGCTTTGATAATGATTTTATGAAATACTATCAGAATGGTGATAGATAGGCTTAGAGATCACAACTTGATTGTGCATACTCTCGCTATTTAATTTTCTGATCCTTGTCAGCAAAATCGGCCATTGCCGATTGGTTTTTCACCAGAAGCGCTGTCTCCCTCCGAATCTAATCCTTCTCCGAACCAGGTTAGTTAATTTTACCCATGCAAGAGATAATAGTTTTTGTTTTTTGAAACAACTACCCCAGGGGCTATGGGGATTACCTTATTTTGGATATTAAAATTGCTTTTAGACAACCGGATCAGGCGGTAGTCTCAAACGAGAGATTAGTCGAGGTACTTGTAAGCTACTAACGTCAAGAAAAAAGAAACACCATTTTCTCACTTACCTATGTGAAAGGCTTGTTCAGTTGTATGCTTAGATTTTTATCTGATCAGGTTTTTTCTTGTGTTTTATTGAAGAGAGAGAGCACATTATGAGTTTGGCTTGTGTCTATTATGCTGTCATAACTTACCAAAATAATCTCCCTTTTCGCTATAATTGAATCTCAGGTTCAACGGCAATCCCTCCAAAGTGCTGAATCTCAGATTCAACCGCGATCCCTCCAAAGTGCCGTCTCGGACCCTGGCTTGATGGTTGTCCTACACTCCAAATTCGTTTCGTAACGTCGATATCAATACAGTCATCTATAAGTTTCTAACTACTGTTTGTGTATGCCTGGCAGTTAAATGGAGCTACGATTGTAAACACGCCATCGAGCAGCAGCAGCATCGATAAAACACCCAATGGTAGCAGCAGTACATCGGATTCCCCCAAGAGCGAGGTCGGGAATCCCGGTCTTTCTGGACTCGGATTTCTTACCAGAACGAGGAGCGCGATGAGTGCAGTGTTCCGGCAGGCTCGCCCGAGTATTCAATCCTGAGGAGACCTTTCTTTTGCCGGTACTGTGAGGACTTTTGTTATATAGCTAAAGCTAGAAGTTGCCCAGCCCAGATGAAGAAGATATCGTATAGCTTCTGGTGGGTACAGAATTTTGTAGTTATGATTATAAAGCTTTTCTTTTTCTTTTGCTTCTTTTTAGGTTCTAAGTGGTTATCTTATTTTTTGTCTTACGTTAATAAAATGCTCTAAATTGTAATGTTATTGGTGGTGGATTCTGAAGCCTTTTCATTTCAGGGTTTCTTTGTGCTTAATCTAGTTTTGGTTCTTAATCTTTTTTAATAATTATAATTTTTTATTATGAGTATGTTAAATATTTCATTATATTATATCGATAGTCGTATTTTATATGTATTTAGTTTTTATTTTATTTTAATATAGTTAATATATTATTGTTTAAATATAACTAAGTTAAAATTAAAATTACTTTTAATTGTTTTTGTTATTTCAATTTAATTAACTTAAAAGTAAAATACATTCTTTAGGTTAAATTAACCATATATTTGTGCTTATTAATATTTGTTTTTTTAAACACGTTGTGCTTATTTTTATATGATAAAATTTAAAATGAATATCATACAAAAGCTAATTTAAAAATAAAAAACAATTCCTTTAATATTAGCTAATTTAAAATTAAATTTATGTATTCACCTTTTCTTTTAAAATAAATCTAATTTATTTATTTTTGGGATAAATGACTCTTTATTTTAAATTCACCCATCGAAAATTATATATCTTTTTAAAATAACATTATTTAAATACAGATAAAAGAGAATAATAATTAAAAATAATTTTGTTCACCTAAAAGTTAAACATCAAGTTTTAAGTATTTAATTACTTTATCGAATTTAACAATTTAAGTATTGCATTCTTAAATTTATTTTATATCAACATATAACAACATACATAAAACTAATTAAATTCATTTCATGCGTAACTCACAATGTACAACTTATTGTTTGAAGATATATGCTAGTACCGTGGAACTATGCTCACCTTGGTAAGCTGATTTAAATATTACATAGGATAGTTTTTGTTCTTATTTTTACGCTAATCGGTTGGACCGGATGTGGACCAAACCGGGTCGAACCGACCTATGCACCACCCCTGCGTTTCCCGCCATTTTACGACTGTTGTCGGGTTTTAGCGCGTTTTCGTTTTGGGTATTGAACTCCACAAATTCTCAGTTTCAGTAGCAAAGATCAAGATCGAGAGACCGCCATGGAACCATTTCGTTCTCACAGGAAATCTTCCACAAACGCCACCCCCACCACCCTTCCTGTCTACCGTTCTTTTCCTCCTCTCGAATTCGATCTTTATGATTTCGAGCTTTACGCCATAGATCGCATCCGAGGTTCTCGCTTCTAATTTCTATTTCTTAATGAAGATTTCGCGTTCTGTTTCTTTATCTGGACCCAGGGATTATTGTCTTTTAGGATTTTGAGCAATTTTGAAGCAGGTCGAGTGATGCAATTTAGTTTAGGTTACATACTAAATTACATGGTTGGATGAATAATTGATCGAAGATTTTTATCCCTGACACGTTTCGTAAACTAAGTGGTGGTGGTAACCACTCCCATATCAATGTTTGTAGTTTCATTGTTAAGATGTGGTCTTGACCTGCTACCATTGTCTAGCGCAGTTCTTAAAGGGATCTCTGATGGGTTATCTCGAGGAAAGAGACCTGAAGAGATGGAAAAATTGGTGAGATTGTATTTTCTTCACGGGTTCCATGTTATATTTCTAACTTTCTTTTATTTTTCTTTTTCACATTGCGCAGGTTAGAGAATTGCGGAAAACACACATGAAACACCCACAGGCATCTGAGGAGGTGAACAAGGATATAATATCTCACTTTGTTCTGCGCCTTGTGTACTGTAGAACGTAAGTTTACTTCTTTCTCTACCATAATTTCTGCACAGCTTTTGTTTACCATTATTTTGACTTGGTTTTAGGGAGGAGTTGAGAAAATGGTTTCTTTCTATGGAAACTATGCTATTCCGATACCGCTTTCTTTCCGAAAGTCTTGAATCCCAGGTAAACATATGGCCCATTCCTTAGTGCCTTGTTTCCAATGTCCCAATTTAGAGATGGGCTTAATGTACATTATTTGCTGCTGGGTTTTCAGAAGTTGATCTTTTCAGAGCTTGGCCTCTCATATAAAGCAATCAGTAACGTAGAATTTGAGGTAATTTATATCTAGTTAAATTTCATTGGCTATAATGTCAAACATTCATTTATTTTGATGAGAAATTTCATTGATATGACGAAATATACAAAAAAGGGGGAAGAAAAAGAGATCCCCAAGAGGAAGAGGGTTGCAAAAGGGCCCTCCAAATCATCAAAATGTCAATTTATCTTTGACGTGAGAAGGTAGATATACAGCATTTGCATCAGCTTAGGGCCATAACCAAGACTCCATCAAAGAACCTATTATAAGGCTGAAGCTGAAAGATGCCATTGAATATCCTGTTGTTCCTCTCCCTCCATTGGTTCCAAAGGAAAGCCTTGATGAAGTAGTTTATTGATCTCTTTATTCTTTCTGAAAGGATGCCCCACCAGAAAGTATTGTAGCATAATGCTGATGTCATTGTGCTAGGGGGGTTTGCCAACCAAAAGAGAATATATAAGATGAAGTTCCAGAGTCTGCTTGCAAACTTACGAGATTATAAGATGCCCCTGGGTATCTTCTGCCTTTTAACACACAATACACCAGTTTGGTGAAATTGCAACGGAGAGCCTTTTTTGGATGATTTCATGGGTGCTTACAGCTTTGTGATTAAGCTCCCTGAAGAAAAAAATTGTTTTCCTGAAAATTTGTCACTCCACATGTTGTCACAATAGGATGAGTTTTGAGGGGTGGCTCCTTAGGGTATTGGCTGTCTGCTCTTCGATTGGGCTGAACGGGTGTACAGTGGGGCAATTACTAATTCTTAAAACTAGCATTCTTAAGAGGAGGGTGGAAAAGGGAGGAAAGCTCTCAGTTCCTGCCTTTCTTTCTATTATTTTTCTAGTGCAATTTTGGATACTTAAACAATTGGTTCTTTTTTTTTTTTGTCTTAGCTTAAATCTCCCTAATCATGGACTTCACCTTAAACTGATTTGTGGGATCAGCCATACCCATTTGTCTGTCATAGAGGCAGGGGAGAGATTGGGTAAAATTTGGTCATGATGGAATATTTGTATTTACAGTACCTCCCCAGGCTATTGCTTGTACAAATTGATGGAATCTTCTTAGCTTGTAAAATGTATTATGCTTTTCTTTCTACTCCATGAGTTTTCTTCTAAGCAACTTCAATATTTTTCTTCTTATAGGCTGTAAAGGACAAATTGGTTCAAGTTGCTCGGTTGATTGGACAGACTGTACCTAGTGGTAAGAATGGACAACTCATTAACAGACTACAGTTTTCATCTTCATGCTCATACAATTCATCGATTGTACGGTAATTGTTGAGAATATATTGAAAATATTGAATATACCCTAATTTATTAGTTTAAGATTTTGAATTTGGTGGTAATGTACCTCACCTATCAAGTTAAGATTTTAGGTTTAAGGGTGATCCAATAACATATGAAAAATTTATTAGGTTTAGGAGTTTGTGTCATTGACCAATTTTGTTCTTTTTCATAAATCAATGAAAAGTTCGTATCTTGTTAAAAAGAAAAAATAACGTATGAAAAATTTAATTTAGGCTTGTACGGTTTAATTAGTTTGGGTCTCTTATTATTTTTGGTTTTGTCTCTATGCGGCTGGTTGACTATTGTTAAGTTAGCAAATTGGATTTTGTTCTTCTTGATTCTATCTTTCTATTTCTCTCTCATTTCCCCTTCCCCTTTGTTTCTATCTGTTCCCTTTAGTGGCATGTGTCAACTGTATATCTATACTTGTTATATTACTTTAATAGCAACACTTTCAATTATCTTTTGGTTTGTGCCTCAAAAAGAGTTGAGTGCACACCTATACCACACTTAATTATCTATTATGATTTATCATTGTTACTTATGTTTATCTCCTTTTTTCTCTTTTTACAGCTGATGCAATATACTTTAAGGTATGTAGTTTATTTAATTAGATAGTTATCTTAATATGTATGTCAATTGTAGTCCCCAAGGGTCAGCTTGGTTGGTAAGGGCTTGGGGTCTCTTGGTCATATTGGCTTAGAGGTCTCAAATTCGAACCTTCCTGTGAGCTAATACCAAAAATCTTTGATGTCTCCTAGTTATATATAAAGAAACATATGTATGTCGATTGCTATTTAAGTATGTTATTGAATATATTTTATTTTAGTTTTGGAAGTGGATGTAGAAATGAATATTTTGATGTCCATGTGAACTGTAGATATGAGATCATTTATTTTTCGATTGTATCAAGATTCAATCTTTTCTCAGTCGAAAATTGTGAAATGTCTGATGCTAAGCATTAACCATTGCATCTATTGTAACTCAAGGAAAGGGAAAAATTTCTCAAATAGATGGATTATTTTCCTAAAATCTGTCGGGAAAATGAAAAACTGCCCTGACAGGCGGATAATTTTAGTAAGATCTGTTGAGAACTTGAAATGTTTTCTGTCATGTGGATGGGAGAATATATTTGCACATGGATACATCCAAACATGTATGGATTATTGGTGTAAAATCATGGACTTTAATCACACCTTTATTCTTTGGAATCAAGCATATGTAGGTTTTGTTGGTCTTTTTGTTGATAATGCCATTTTTGAGACGTCTTGAAAGACCCTAATCAGATACGTTTTAGTGGTGTTTTAAGCCTTTTTCAAGAATTCTCCAGTAAAACCATATGGACTTAGGGCTTTTTGTGTTCCTAACTGCAGGGTTGCATTTAGAATTTTTGATTCTTCAAAGTGCCTCTCAAGCCAGTTTGCTAACTCTATTGATAGGCAGCCACAAAGCTCCCTCTATTAATTACAAACCTTTCATCTTCATCTCTTTATGTAAGGGGGAGAGAAAGCCCAGAATTTCTTGTTGAATCTCTTCTTGCTTTGAAAACAATACATCCCTTCTGCTCAACAAGGTTGATATGTAACCATCATGGGCCCAAAGGGGCTAGGGTAAAATGAGAGGGAATGAGTTCAAACCCCATGATGGTCACCTACCTTAAGAATTAATTCCTATGTGTGTTTTGACACCAAATGTTGTAAGGTCAAGCGCTGCCACATAAGATTAGTCGAGGTGCGCGCAAGCTGACCCGAACACTCACGGATAATAAAAAAAAGGGTTGAAATGGAATTTTTACTAGCCCGATGAGAAGCCCATATGTGGAAAAACTTAAAGTTCATGTCACCTTCTTTCAACCACTTTAATTTAATTCTCTCTCCATATTGGCCTCTCCTTCATAATTAGTCACTTAAAGCTTTAAGTTTAGCATTTTCCTTTAACCTTTTTGGCTGGGAGGATTCTTCTAAGATATCAAGACTATTTATCTTCAAAGATGAGGATGCTTTTTCCTCCCTTATGTCACCAAAAAATGTACTATGGAAGTTATAGTCTTTGGATGGTCCATTTGTTTGGTAGGAGGGAATTAATTCATATGACAAAGTTGAGTATATGGGGGAGCTTCTGTGCACCACGACTAATCTCATAGGATAACTATCTAACCCTACTATATTTGTTGCCTAGAAAACTCGTAGGGTAATAAACCTAAATAGGTGACCACCATGATTTGAACCAAGTCCTTTATTTTTTTCATTGGCCATATTGACTACTAGGTCAACCCAGGGTGGTTTGCACATGATAAAGTTCAATGGAGAAATCTTTAAATTTTCTATCTCTTGAATAGTGCATAGCCTTTTGGATGATGTAACATCACAATGGTATTCTCTAGTAATATTAAAGACATAGGCAATCAATGGAATTGTGGCCCTTTTATCCTTGATTGGGATTTCTGTGTTACTTTGGGGAGGAGAGATTCTTGTCTTTGGGACTAGTGCTTTTGAAAGCTTCTATTGTAGATCTTTTTCTCCACTACTTGGGTAATCTCTCTCCGACTAGTAACCCCATGTTTTGTTTGTCGTGGAAGGTCAAAATTTCAAAGAAGGTGACTTTTTATTTTTTTGATCTTACGACAGGTCTTTTTGGTAGAGTTAATATCCTGGATTGTGTTTGGAGGAGATCTCCCTGCTTGGTAGGGCCACAATGTTGTATCCTCCGTAGGGGTGGCTGAGGAATTTGACCACCTTATGTGGAGCTGTGATCCGCGTTTTGCTATGGAGTTGGTTTTTTCTTAGACTTTCAGTTTTCGTTTGGCTTGGCCTAGAGGATGTAATTTGATGGTGGAGTTCCTCCTCCATTTGTCCTTTCGGGGAAATGGTTGTTTCTTTTGGCTTGCTAGTTTTGTGCTATACTTTGGACCCTTTGAGTTGAGAGAAATAATAGAACTTTTAGAGGGGTGGAGAGACCTTGGGAGGAGGTTTGGTCCCTTGTTAGATTTCATGTCTCTCTCGGCCTCGTGCGTAAAATCTTTTGTAAGTACCCTTTAGGTCTTATTTTGCTTGGTTGGATCCCATTTTTTTTAGTTTGGCTCCTTTTGGGCTGTATCTTTCTTTTGTTTGCCCTTGAATTCTTTCATTTTTTTTTTCTCAATGAAAGTATGGTTTATCATAAAAAGAAAGTCTAGATAGTCCATTTTTTTGGTGGGAGGGAATTAGTGCACGTGATGAAGTTCAATGCAAAAATCTTTCAATTTCCTCATTCTTGGCACAACTTCAATCTCTTTTGGTTGGAGAATATGATTTTTGGCAGCAACTTAAATTTTGCCCCGTCTCTTTTTTTTTTAATGGAAGTGGGGGTTCATGTGTTAGTCATTTCCTTGGATTTTCAAAGTGCAGCAAGGTTATCGAAAAGAATCTTCTTGGAGTTTCAAGTCTTTTTGTTCATGGATTCTTATTCCTCTTCTGCAGAGGTTTGGTTTCTTCTCAGAGAGTTAGAGTCACTTCTAATCTTCCATCGTTTCCATCGTTTTTTTTAGGTTCCTGTGGCGGTTCTTGGCCTATATTGATTTTCATTCTTATCTATGGTTGTAATGCTCTTTTTTAAGATTCTGTTTTGTTTTGTTTCGTTTATTTTTTTTTTCTCTTTTTTCTCTTACTCCTTTGGGAGGTGTGTATCCTTGAAATTTTATTCGTTTCATATATCAATGAAAAATTGTTTCTTGTTTAAAAAAAGAAAAAACAAAAACAAAAAAAGATTTCTTATCCCTTGAGTTGCATTGCGTGTAGGCTTTTGTATGATTTAACATCATAGTGGTATTCGCTAGTAATGTTACACACATTTTTGTTCAATGTGTTGTGGGAGCTCGAGAAGAATTGAAGAATCTTACAACTTATGGGCATGTTATGGAATTTTGGGATCTTATTCTTTCTCTTGCCTCCTTTTGGAGTTCTCTCCCTAAAGGTTTCTAAAATTGTTCTGTTTGTAATATGGCGGCCAAAGTTCTTTTGTGTCCCTTGGCTTGGTAAGTCGGATGCCATCTCTTCCTGCCAGTGCGTGTTTAATTTTTTAAACTTCCATATGATTACTATCATTGAATTTTATGTTCCTACAAAAATAAAAGAAAATTCAGCTTGTTGGAGATTATTTCTTTTTTCCTAATTCTTTTCTACCTTATCTTATGAAGGTACCATGGGAAGAAGTTCCAGAACTAGTGGCTGGTCGAAAGGTATATCTCCATAAAGGACAGGCATATATTGCTACTAATCAGGTTAATATTATGCTTATATATATACATTCAATTTTATGCACTTGATCCTAAAAAGTTATTTCTAATTTTCCTCCATATAACTCTCAGGTGGTTTCCCTTGTTACAACGCAATTCCGCAGCTTTCTATCAAAGGCCCTGAGTTTGACAAACAGGTTGTTAAAGAAAGCTTGAACTGCAAACTGGATTATGTTAGATTAGATTTAATTTTCCAGAGCCGGCAGTCATTTAATTTTCATTTTGATTATGAAGCTTTAGAAGCAATGTTTCAAAAGGATTTTGAGGCTTACGCCTTGAGGCTCTCAGCCTCGAGGCAAGGATTTAACTTCTAGCCTTGATACTTACGTTTTCTTTAGACTATTAGAGGCTTGCACTTCTCATGAAGAGACTTATGGCTCTAAGAAGTCACACTGAGGCTTCATGTAATGATTAGAAGACTGTTATTAATTTACCTATTTTTTTTAGAACAAGAAACAATTTTTCATTTAATATAAGAAAAATGTCAAGATACAAACCCCCAGAGGATGAAAGAAAAAGAGAAACAGAACAAAAAAAATCCAAGCTCAAATAGGAGCAATACAAATATATTGGAAGATATAGAATAATCAAACCCAAGAGCCATCGTTGAACAGCATTCTTCTGTAGGCTGGACCCCGAGTGTGCCCTTTTTATTAACTTGTCCAATTTTTTAAAAATATAAATATTTCTATGTATGGAATGCTAATACAAACAGTAGTTGTGACAATTCAATCTATTACTAGTTTTACTCTCTAGATTGAGAAACTGAAGACAAAAGTTTATAGAATAAATCAATCCTATCAATAATAATAGTAATGATATTAAGGATATCATTTTACAATTTTTATTTAAGTGGCAATTGACAGATGACTTTTTATTTGTTATTTTATATTTTTTTATAAATAATTTTATATAACTATTATGTTTAGCAATACCTTATCAAACAAATTTTGGATTGGTATAATCTTTTAATTAAAATTGAGGCTTACGCCTCATATTGCATCGAGGCTAGAGAAAAAACCTAAAGGCCGCCTTTAGCTTTTGTGAAATATTGTTTGGAAGATCTAAGTACATGATGAAAATTGCATTTTTTATTAATCTCTAAAAGGTTATAAATCTTATTTGCAGGAAATGGACATCTACAGTAAGAGAACAAGAGAACAATCGGTTGGCCCCTGTGAGTATTAATCATAATCAGCTATGTGTATGGTAAAGAAAAGTTAAACTCCGTGGCCCTTGACATATTGTAAATGCTTTATAGATCGTAGAAGCCCTTTGCACTAGCTACCTGGGTCCTGACTACTCACAGGTAATTTATTTATTGAAGTGGCTACTTTACCACATGATGTAATCTGATATGGATCTACGTTGCTTATTATCTCCCCAGCCAAGAGAGTATGGTGATATATCAATAAAAGACATTGACCAAGTAGCTAAAAGTTCATTTCCTCTTTGTATGCGGCACCTATTTGAAAAGGTAAGAAGACTGGTCACAATGGCCATATAAATCTCTAGAAGTTTTTCTTCTTATTTTTCCTCCTATTTCTTCATGTTGGTGGTACATAATATTCAATATGTTGATCTGTTCTTTTTCATTTATTTATTTTATTTTACTCATGTTCAGCTGAAAGAAGATCATCATTTGAAGCATGGAGGGAGAATGCAATTAGGTCTCTTTCTCAAGGTTGTACAATGTACTTTTGCTGATCTGAGATGCTTACGCTTGTACATAATTCTTGTTTTTCTCTGTTTTGTATATCTTGTACATGCATTACTAGGAATATGGTAGTTTGAAGCGTGGGATGCAAATTAATTTATCTTGTTTTTTCTACATTGATGAAGAGCTGAATTGTTGTTAGATATGAAATTGCGTACATACAGATATAGACAAGAAACAATGAAGTTCATCGATGAGAGGAATAGTGTTCATGTTCCTCTATCCCCCTTTATCGCTTGGTTAAAACTCTCTTAATGGATGTGAAATGAGTATATCATCTATTTTTGTTACAATTTGATAAGAAAATGCAGTTTAATTTAGATGACCGATGACGTTTATATACGAGGAGAATCAACAATCATGAATAAATAATATGTTGTTGATTGAAGTATGATTAGTGTTGCTGATAGTAAGTATTAATCTGCAATGCTCCTCTTATTGTTGGTATGAAGTCTTTCTATTTTTATGCTTCAATTCTCAATGACAGCTTGGCTTCTCACAATTATTTATTTTTTTATGTTTTAATTCTTCACATGCAGGGTGTTGGTTTGAAGCTTGATGATGCCCTTGCTTTCTGGAAAGCTGAGTTATCCCAGAAAGTAAGCATAACAATACTCATTTCTGTAACTTAAAATGCTAATTCCTATGCCACCATTCTCCACCGAGGAAATCTGTAGTTACTATTCATTTATTTTTATGTTAGAGTTAGCCTCTATATAATTGTCCCAATTATTGCAATAAACAGCATTGCGTATGTTTGAGTTCTCTCTCTTGATTTCTATTTCTATTATTCTCTCTTCTATTTATTTTCCTTCATTTATCGTCACTCTGTATTATTTTATCTGTTATATTCTTGTATATGATTACATCCTAAATTTGATTATTATATTTTTATTTCGTCTTAGCCCTGTCCCGACAGATCATATTCACAATAATTGATAGCTACTGCTTTATCCCTTCTATTGTAGGTTGGTGCTGAGAAGTTTGACAAAGAATATGCATACGGTATTAGGCATAATTATGGAAAAGAAGGCAAGAGAGTGGTAAGAGCTGTAACCTTTGGGAAGTCCTTAAGGTGTAGATTTGTTTTTGAAATAAGAAAATTTTTAAGATGTAGAATTAGTAGGGTCAACTTTACGTAGATTTTTATTTTAGGAATCTTCAAATATTTTAGTATATTTTTGACATTTATAATGGTCTATTTTTGTAGGATGTGATTTAATTGTCTTGTTGTGTTTTGATTTTGCCCATGTCATTGTCCTAATAGTACTGCTACAATCAGCATTGTGTAGTTTTGAGTTTCTCTCTCGTTTGTACCTATAGTTTTCCCATTCTCTCTTCTATATCTTATCTATGCCTTGCATCAGACCTATTATGTTGTTGGCATATTCTAAGCTTGTCAAAATTAAATACTAAAATAGCTAGTAATGTAGTATGGGAACATTTTCCAGTAATGTTTCTTTATTTTGACTTTTTGGAGATAAAAATCCTTTGACTCGTAGTTGTCCACACATATTTCAATGGACTTTTGTTCTGTGATTTATTTATATCATCATCCGATATTTACATTTTTACTTTTTGTGTGTTAGAACTATTAGAGTAACTTGCCAATTTCTATGTAGAATTATGATCTATCTCCTATCTGAAACACTAGGATTACTCGCCTTATTCCTGTCAAAAAGTCATCCAATCATCACCTGGTGTTGGAGATCATCATGGATGCCCATATAGACATTTCAGGTATGCTTTCTATATATATAAAGGAACTGTGTTTTGTTTTCTATCACAGGTCATTTTTATTATAAAGTGATATACCTTTAATTTGAAACATTAGAAAAGGGGGGAATAGAGGAGGTTTAGAGTAGCAACAAGAACGGTTAGCAAACTAAGTTAATTAGTCAGGCTGAGGGCTGTTTGGACTTTTGGTGCATGATTCTGTTAGTAAGGATTCTATTAGAAGCACATGAAAATAAGGGGAAAAAGAGACAGTAGGGAGGAAGAGGGGGTTAATTTTCTTGCTATTTTGGTAGGGAGAGCTTTCTGATTGGCCCCCTATTAAGAATGTGTACGCCAGGAAGAAGAGAGCACGTGCGGCATGAGGTTGAGCCATTTTGTGGGCTCGAGTTAGTTATGGTAGAGGCTATTTTGGGAATATGTGTGCTTGTGTATACGGCTGAGAGAGAGAGAGGGTATGCTAAGTTGTTAGTGAGAAGTAATGGATGCATAGCAAGCTCTCGAATTCTCCCTTAGCTTTATAATTATCTCTTTGAATATCAACAATATAGGAGTGGTTCCTATCATTTCTGGTATCATTGCAGTAGGTTCTGGGGAAGGTTACTACAAAAAAGATGGAAAGTCGTGTTGAAGCAGTAAAAGAGGTCTCTGGAGCTGTTACCGTCAGGACATGGCTTTGTTGAAATGTGCCTGATGCTGGTAGCGATTATCCAACACTTGGATGTGCAAGGGCGTTCTAGAGAGGATAAGGGAAAGGCTCTCACTGTGGATCCACCGAAAATAGTAGTTGGTGATTGAGCTAATACGACTTGGAGCGTCAACTCAAATCAAATGAGTAATGCATTGGCACATGTGTTCGACTTCAGGTTGAGGGCGTTCTAGAGAGGATAAGGGAAAGGCTCTCACCGAAAAACCTTACCAATTAGGCTGGAACCTTGTGGAAGAGAGAGATGAAAGCATTCTTCCTTGAGAAATCCTATTTCCTCTATGTTAACTTGATAATCATTTCGTTTTTACTTTCCTCAAGAAACTTCATGTATTTCACAAAGTAGAAGGTTTCCCAACATAAGTACCAGCATGTTAGATATTGATTCAAAGTTCAGACAAATATGTGATTCTTGTCATCCGGGAGCTACTTGATGAATTCTATGGGCTAACAGTTTCCAAATTAGAGTTGAATAATTATAGTAAAACTATCAAAAGGAAGGATGTCTCTAAAAAATATATTTAGACCCATAACTTTCTACTCATGCTCTTTGGACTAACCTTCCAAACAATCTCTTAAATGCTCATGGATAAGGTTTTAAGCCATATTTTAGGAAGCCTGTGCTCATGTTCTTTGACGAAAGAGCATATCCAACATTTGGAAATTATTCTAGATGAGTTACAGGAAGCAACAATTATAAGAAAGCCTCAAGAAATGTGCTTTATTGAGGCATGGGATGTAATATTTGGACAACATTATTTCAAAAGGCAGGAGAGTGCTGACCAATATAGCAGTCCATAATGCTAAAAATAGAAGACGATGGGGTACCCTTAAATTTTGTTAAGGTTATGACAGCATTACGGCCCCTGAAAGAGAAAACAAAGGATCAATTTAGTTGGAATGAGTGGGTTCCAACAGTTGATGAGTTCTGTAATTCTTTTTTTTTTTGGCATATAATCATATTACAGTGGAGTGTCTCATCAAAATTCTAAGAAAAGGTTGCAATACGACATGAAAGTTACACTGTACTTGCAGTTTTTTTCCCTCTTTGCTTGACATATCGATTCTGTTAACAGTGAAGACAACTTAAGAGCAGCCCTTGGTAAAATGGGAGTAAATAATCGGACAATGGAAGATATAGTGGACAAAGTGCGAAATAGACATTATCAGGTTCTCAATTTACTTGCTGACTCTTAATTTTTTCAAATTTATCATATTAATATTGGGAATAATATTGATGGTTTTCTCATTTATCTTTAGTTGGCATGCACCTTGGCATTTGAATCGACCCATGGCTCATCATGTGATGCCGGGATCAATCATCCGAACCAGTATTTCACTGATAGTCAAAAAATCCTGCAATCTAAGGTAGATCACAATTGCTTTAATTTTTCTAGTGTGTATACTATACTATGTTATCTTGTTTAGTTGATAGTATCATTGGTGTCACACGAACACCAATTTTTATGTTATCTATTGCAGATTCAATAGCACATACTCAATTTTTATGCTATTGTGCACTGTAGGTTGAATTGGAGTTACTAATTACTATGTGTTGCTCCTATATCTTATCATGTAGTAACTTTTATGCTTTCTTGTATTGGCATGATGAATTGTGTTACTATATGCTGTCATATCGTCCTTGTGAGAGTTTTAGTGATATCTAATGGGTTTGTGAATTTTCAATTGTGTCTAAAAGACCCTAACTTATTAGACATTTTTTTTTAAAAATTCGCAGGTCAGAAAAGTCGTGACCCTATTAAATACAAAATTCAAGTTTGTATCGAATAGGCTCATAAATTTAAAAAATTACCAAATAAGTCAGGGACCTATTAAGCTTTTCTAAAGCCCAGGAACTTATTAAATACAAAATTGGAAATTTAGGGACATATTAAAACAACTTTGAAAGCTCAGCAATTAAACTTTTAATTTAACATTTATTTTATTACTCAGTGAAATTATCCAGGTGCATTTAGGGACATCATCAATATTTTGGTCTTGACCTTCGCCGCTATGCCAAGAAATACTGGTCTTTGAGATGTTCTCCGGTGGAATGTTAACTTACTGTCTTTATTGCTTCTTCGCACAAATTAAAGGCCTAGAGTTTATTGTGCGTACCAAGTTGTATTGCTTAGCTAACCATTACCAAAGTTGGGACTGAAGAGATCTTGTTTTAGGCTGAAGTTCTAACAGCTGTTACCAATGAAGACAATTCAAAGTTGAAACTTAATACTTGCATTTGTTATTTGCAGAACAATTCAACAGCCTAGAGAGCACCTCAAGAAGTGGGAATCTAGTTAGGACTTCCAGGTTTGTCCTTTCTGCTACCTATGTTTTTCCTACCTTTTTGTGGCACTTGGGAAGTTGTCATAATAGTTCAAATTGGTTCAAACGAAAGTTCCTCATCAAGATCTCTAACCTTAAATCTTCATCAATTTAGCTCTATCAACCTTTTATGTGAAGTTTTCAAACTGGTTTTTGTGGTATTCTCAGTTTGTTGCAACGATTGAGAACTTTTTTTTTTGGGGGAGGTTTTTGATGTTTAGATGGTTCGTAAACATTTGTGCAGAGCTATGTTGGAAGAGGTCTTATATACCACCCTCACTTTTGGGATAGAGAGTTGGCTCTTTGGCGTGCTGCTTTCTTGTGGTCTTGTGGAACATTTGGCTTGAGAGAAATAGGAAGGTCTTTAATTAGAAGGAAAGTTCTTGGGGGGAAGTTTGGACCTCGGTCGGTCCCATACCTCCCTTTTTGTTTCTAGTAGTTAGGAATTTAGCGATGCTTCTTTCTCTCCTTGAACTGGAGTCCCTTTCTGTAATTTATCTCTAGTCTTTTATTAGCATTTTTTTACTCCGTCTGGCTTCTATATATATATATATATATTATTCTTTTTTTGCATTGCCTTCGTGTACTATTTCATTAATCAACGAAAGTTGTTTGCTTCATATAAAATAGATAATATAAATTGGTTCAAACCAGTTTTGCTCAATAGAGTGATGAGCTCCATTCCCTATATTTCTTTGTTGCCTAGAGCTCTTGTAAGATGCATTAGCCTCTTTGCCACAATTTTTCACACATTTGAAATGCTTATTTCAAATTTAGTTCATCACATCATTCTCAATCATAGTTTGAATAAATTAGGAAAAATGATTAATTCACCACTCACTTGATAAAGAATGCATGGGCTTTCTACTTATATATTTCAATCTGTCCATCTACTTTTAGACTAAAATAATAATATTTATTACTATTAAATATTGATGGGACATTGCTTTAGAAACGTTGTATAGTTTCTTAATCATGTTCTTTTTTCTTTTTCTTTTTTTTTTTTGAGTAATTAATCATGTTCTTTGCCTGCAAGGTGACAATTGCTGTGGGTTAATGCAGTCAAATCTATTATTTATGAAATTTGGTTCAAGCATAATCAAAGAATTTTTAGAATTTTTATAATAGTAGCGATTTTCGGTGTTTTGATTTATCCAAATTGAAAGCTTCACAATGTTGTTCTCTATTAATTGTGGTGCTTTCATGTCCTATAGTTTAGTGTATTTCATTTTTTGTTTGTCACTCTCGAAGTTTGTTTCCTTGAATAAAAATGATCGTGTAATACGAAAGTTTTAACTCTTCCACTTTGTAGTAGAATGATGATTACTTGACTTGAGTTACGTTCGTTTTTCTTTTGTTGGGATTTCTTTTTTTATTTTAATATAATTTGTAAAATCCAACATTTGACTGATGAAGTAAAACCACAATGTATTGTCTCTCCACAATGCAGAATCTATCCGTCATTTGTTCCTACGAACCTGCTTGGGCCTGTTTGTCAATGTTGCTGTTTATTATTTTTTGTTCTTAGTTTTAAAACCTAAGTATTTAATAATTATTTATGTTTATTGTTTCTCATTTTTAGAAACATTCTCAAAATTATATAGAAATTTTAAAAACAAGAAAACAAGTTTTTTATTCATTTTTATTTTTTCTAATTTGTTCCAAAATAAAAATAAAAATATAGTTTTATCATTCTTGAATCCATAGGCATTGGGGGCAAGTAATTTTATTTTTCTTCATTAAAAAGAAGAAAATAGAAATAAGAAATGAAAACGTTAGCAAGTGGGTCCTACACTGCTTGTTTGCTCATAAAAGTTGGAATTTCTCCTCAATTATTTTGACATCGTCCCAAGGGTATAGAGAAGGTCTTCATCAATTACTCTCCGGCTGGTGGTTAAAAGAAACTCTACGTTGGAGCTGGGCGATTCGATTCCGTTCATAATTATTGTACTTCATATTGTTGTTTCAAGTTCATTATTGACTAAAAGGTAGGATTGACATTGACGAGCATATTAACGTAGTCTCAAATTAGTTAGAAATAGAGATCTTAGAAAGGTAAGTAGAAGTCGATGAAACTTTTCGAGTAGAATGTAAAAATAAAGTTATGTGGGCTTAGGCTGAAAAGGTACGATATTGTAGAAATATCGGCTTCTTGTCCTAATAAAATGTAGAGCATGTTGCAATTTATCATTTTAACACTCTTCAGGTTGAGCTGCCAGGAGAAGAAAAGAAGAATCAACTCTTACTTTGCCAGGTATTTTGGCTTGATATATATTCTACATTTTAGGTTGCTGTGCTACTGAGATTTAACTAGTAAGAATGAAATGCAAACCATAATGGCCTAGTGATTATGAAGGGCTAATTATAGAATGTTTCAGTATCCATAAAAGATTAAATTTACTTTAATCCACTAGCTTAAGTTTTTAGGTTCGATAAATGATTTAACATGGTACCGGAACAGGAGGTTTTGCAGTTAAATCCTTATAATATATAATAATAATAATAATAATAATAATWATTATTATTATTATTATTTTGGCTTGATATTCTACCCTATATGTTGCTGCGCCATTGAGATTTAATTATTATTATTGTTAATTTTTTTAGGAAAAAATTGAGATTAATTAGTGATTATCAAGGGCCAATGAAAAAAAAATAAAGAGAATGTTAAGGAATCCATAACAGCGGACAACCAAATGTAGTAGGATCAAACAGTTATTCTACGATATTAGTCGAAGTTTGTGCAAACTGGTTCAAACATGGAGGACGTGAAAGTTGTTAGGTAGAGGAAAAGATGTTCCTAGAATGGCATATATGTGCGTAATGATGAAGCATAGTTTAGAATAGAGGGAAAATGTTGGGAGAATTCTTTCTAAAAGGAGGGAAGAATTAAAGTAAGAGAGCAATGTTGGACCACTTTGTAAGCAGATGGGTTTAATGAAAACTTCTCCAAAGTCTTCCTAATTTTTAATCAACTGGGCCCCACCTCACCCCTCCCCCCTTTAAATAAAATAACTCACTCCTTCAAAAAGTTGTTTATAGTTCTCGAGTAAGATGAAAAGTTTTATCTTGCTACCGTCTCGTATCCCGCGTTCTATTTTGGTCTCTGAAATTTCAAGACTGGTCTCTTTTAGTCGGTCAACTTTCGAACCATAACTATTTTAGTCTTAGCTATTTTATTTTTGGTTTTAAGTACTATTTTGATCCATGTACTTCCAAAATTTTAAAGATTAAAACATTTATTTTTTTATTAAAATTTTTAGCATCATACTTCACTCACTAAATTTAATTTCTTGAAATGTAGTTATAAATTTGTAAACTGTATACAAATTGTGTTAAAATTTTACAAATAAGGACCAAGATAATCACATTATATAAATATAAGGATCATAACAAACGTTTTGAAAGTATTTAGATTAAAATGAACAAAAGTTAAAAGTATATACATCAATACGGATGTTTTGAGAGTAAATGACCGAAAGGAACCAAAGCCGAAAGTACATCGATCCAAATAAAAATAGTATTAAAACCTTAATTTTTCTACCTCATATTTGCTCGCCCAACATTTGCCTTTAGTATGGATTTACGTTAATACACACTCAAATCTCATTATCAATTTGTTAAAATCAAGATAAACAAGGATATATATTTTTTTTTTCCAATTTTTATTTTTTAGTTTAAAGATCAAAATAAAAATTTTGAAAATTTAGGAAAAAAATGGAACGGACCAAAATAGGATTTAATTTAAATTATTTATTATTATTTATTTTTTTTTGTCTTTCTTTTAGGTTATGCAAACAAAGTGGTCTGAATGATAATTCAAGAACTCTCTAACACAGATTTCAATTTCCTTTCAAGAAATTTCACTACGTTAAGGATGATATGTTACTTGTCTTGTCTTGTGCTTTTTATTTTGTTACATTCTAAAACCATGTATGTATTATGTAATAGTACTATTTTTGTAATTTTCCTATTATTTTTTATTGAAATATAGCCATAACTTTACACTAAAGAGTCTCCTGTCTGTATAGAATTTGTATTAAAATTTTTGCAAATATGGACCAAAATGAATGTTTTGAAAGTATAGAGACTAAGATGAATCCAAGTTTAAATTACATAAACTAAAATAGACATTTTGAAAGTAGAGGGGAGAACCAAGTTGAAAATACAATAAACAATAATAATATTTTAATCAAATTAATGCTATTATATTTTTTAGTTTTCATACTTCAGCTTAAGACTGTAAAAATATTTGATAAATAGGGATGTGGTATAAAAAAAAAAAAAGAAGAAAAATTGCATATTTTTTTACAGTAGCCGCATATTTGGGGATTTAGGATTGGAAAAGATTTAATCTCCATCACAAGATTGTTTTTTTCCCTTTCCAATACATAAGTTAAACGTGTGTTTTGTACATTTTGTGTGCATAAGATATCGAGGCACCTGTTGGGATAAAATTATGGTACCAATCTACTTGAAATAAGTTCAAAGAAGTAACATAAATTGTGGGTACTTTGGACTGGACCACACAACTAGACCACACCAGACCCAATCAGAACAAGATAATCTGACTAAACTAGATCCTACTAGGGCTGGATCACTCGACCAAGACCAGACCACCCAATTAAATCTGGCCAAAGGTCGAACCATCTGGTCAAGTCAATCCACTTGAATCAACCTAAAGAGGCTCCTATAAATAAGAACATGCTACCAAAGAGTTGGGAACAACCCTAGTAAACCTAACAAGAAGTTGATCCTATTTCAATGGGAAACTTGACGAGTTGGTCTGCCTACACATCTTGTCGCTATGACTGATTGAACTATAATTCCAAAAAAATTAGGTGTACAACCTAAACTTATTATATTTTTTCTAAAAAGAATCAACAGAAATTGAAAAGTAACAATAGCAAGTTATCGTGCAACCTAATTTTTGCTATTTTCAACTGATTTCTCTTTGTTAACTTCATCAAAGTGTATTGAGTTTAACACCACATCGGTATGTAGATCTATTATGTGGTGTAAGTTTTCGTCAAAACATTCAACTACATAACTCATATTCAAATCCTGCATCGATAAAAACATATCACTATGAACAAATATTGGTAGAAAATCATGGAAATTAAGAAACTAATACAAATTACGTCATTGGACATATAACTATTTTACACTTGAACATGTTATAAATTTTATTATTGTATTTATATTCATATTGATAACTTTTTTTTATATCAAAATTATCGAGGACTCTTGATTTCGATTTCAAGCCTTCCAATTTACAAATATATCGACATGGTTGATAAATATTTAAATTCTAAACAACTAACAACTACCCAAGCCAATAACTAATTTCTACAAATATTTAAATTTCCACTCCTATATTTGTAATGCTATAATCTACAAAGAAATATATATAGAGAATAAGACAAAAAAGATAAAGAATAGACCCAAAAATGACAACTTTAAAAGATGAAATACAAGGACTTAAAATTAATTTTTACTATAAACTTTCAAATTCATTAAATTTGTACCCTAAGTATTATAATTTTTGCTAATCCACAAATAACCTTAACAAAAAGCAATAAAATAATCTCCAAAAACTTATAAATTTTAATAAAATCAAGCTACAATATAATAATCTTCAAAAACCTTATAAATTTTAATAAAATCAAGTTTTGTACAAATTAAGTTGGATTGATGCACAAAATCGATACTGAAGCAATTATGTCAAAACATACAAATTTTAACAAAAAGTCAACTCTAAATTCATTTTATTTGAAATTCGATCACAGTTACTACCATACATATATTTTAATTTATTGAATGCATAAAGGATATATATATATTTTTATAGCGATTTCTCAAACTAAAATTTATCAAAACATAAAAATTGCAACTATTGTTCAAGTTTTGAGTAAAGATTGCAAAGCAATATATAAGTTTAAGATAAAATTTGATAAAATTAAAGATTTAGGTTATAAATTGATCCACATCCCTAGTTTAGGGTAAATCTTATTTTTTCCAAAAGAAAAAAAAGTTCCTCTTAAAATTAACAAACTCACTGAAAATATGGCTTTCCTGAGATAGAAACAATGTTTTAAATATTGATGGGTGAAAATGTCAATTGATATTTCTGATAAAAATTCATAACAAATATATAACAAATATTTAAAACAATAAATGAACATTTTGCCATTTTTAAATTATTTAAAATTATTAGTATTAATATTACGTTTGTACCAGTGTTTCTTAGTTGATGTTTTCTTTATTTGTTTCTTATTTTTTTGCGATACATAAATGTCAATCCATTATTCATGTCTATTTTGAACCCATAAACATATAAAAATATGAATGGAAATATTATCATATCGACAAAAATTTAATGCTTTGAATAGAAGAGTAGGAAGAAACATGAGAGTAAGGAAAAGGAAATGAAGAGCTCGTAGGGTAGCATTTATGTTTCCTGAATTATGTTTTTCCAACCCTCATCTATCGAAGAATGATAGAACCATATTTTTATGAATGTTTTTAGAACACACTAGAAATGAAAACAAAAAACAAAAAACTTATTTTTATTGTTTTTAAAAATTTTTACACAAATTATGAGAATATTTGTAAAAATACGAAAAACAAGAAAGATAAATAATTATTAACGAGAAGCAAAAAAATATAACATTAAAAAAAAAACGATTTGGTTTACTTTTCCAAATTTCACCATTCCTTTGGGTCTGTTTCTCCCATCCATCATCATCAACTCATAAAACAAACACACTCTGTCTCTTTCCTTGCCACTCATTTCCCTCTCTCTCTCTTTCTTCCCATTTTCTATTATTATTATCTTTATTTTCTCAAAGATTTTTCCTTCTCTCCCACCAATGCCTTGGAGTTGGGCCTAAAGAGGAAAGCAAAAGACTTCCAAAATACCCATTTTCTCAGTCCCTCTTTCTTCCCTTCCTTTCCCATTTTTTCCGTTCTCTCTCCTATTCCCACTATCCCTTTCTTCTGCCTTCCCTTTATCATCAAAGTACATTATCCACTCTTCCCAATTTCTGCTTTCCAATTTTTTTATTCAGTTTCCCAATTCCCTCCCCCCATGCTTCTTTCTGCTGAAATCCGACTGCCCAAAATGTTCAAATCCCATTACCCTTTACTTCAAATCCTCTCTCATTGTCACATTTTGTTCTAATACGAACATGGAGCTTTGCTTGTGAAGTTCTACCAGGTACCCATCTATTAAAATTCCCAATCCCTCACTGGTTCTGGTTCTTTTGTCTTTATATTGCTAATCTTTAGTACAAAAATGCAATTTATGGATTGTGAAGTTTTTGCTTGTGGGAACTAGAATTTGAAACTACTGTAGATGCTGGAGAATTGGGGTTCAGTGATTAGTGGAGAAGAAACCTTGAATGTCTCTGTAATGGTGGATAGTACTCTTGGTGATAGTGAGCAATTTTTCTTTTTCTTCCAAAATTTGACCGTAGATCTTGAAGGGAAGTGACTAAAGTGGATGTCTCCTGTAGATGGTCTATATTCCTTGTCTTTTGGAACCTAAAATTGCACCTAGTTGAGGAAATTTTTGTGGCAGTAATGATTGTGTTACTTGTATGCAGTGATTTTTGAAGGGAAAGAACAGATTGTTTGATTTCTATACTGCTTTTATTTGCTTGTTTCTATTATATTTGCTTACATTGTATCTTCTTCCTGCTGAACCGATTTCGTGCATCGTCTGATTGATTTCTATCTCACGTACTCTTATTAACTGTGTTCTGAAGGGCGTGAAGTTGAATTAGGAAGGACCCTGATTGAGGAATTTTCTATTGGGAATGACTTAAAGCACCTTGGAAAACGTTTCACAAATTGCTACTTAGATAAAGTTTTTGGGAACTGAGAGTGYGTTGAGGAGTGAAGGAAGTTGCTTGATGTATTTGAGACTCGGGGGGATTTGTAATATGGGTGAAGGATCTATGGATGACATAAAAGGAACTAGAGTTACTTTGATCGAGTCATCGTCTTCGAGATTAATGAAGAGGTCGCGTGCTCCCGGGGGTGGAGCCCAAGTCCCTTTGTGTTTGGTTGATGGATGCAGTTCAGACCTTAGCAAATGCAGGGACTACCATCGTCGCCATAAAGTATGCGAGCTCCATTCTAAAACACCGAAAGTAACCATTTGCGGTCAAGAACAACGGTTCTGCCAACAGTGTAGCAGGTGGGATTAGAATGTTTAAAACATAAATATGTTGCAATTGGCTTCATAATTCTGCCTTTCTGTAAATTTTTAATGGTTTTCTGATCATTAGAATTTAAGTTATGCTGATGGGATATACTCTCTAGTTTGTTGTTTTTTCATCCTGTACTTTATAAAGCTTTTATCTATGCCAACTTTCTCCATATATTTCATTTTTAAAGCATTTCTTGAATTTTATATAGAACTTTTTTGACTTTTGGTTATGCCTTATGTTATCAGCCAAGAGTGCTATCGAGCTTCTGTATATAATTAGTATACTCGATTTGGCCAACCTGAGCGGATCGAGAAACATGGAGTGATTCCCACAAATCATGATTGTTTATTTAACATAGCAAGCAAAGACATTTTCCCAAATTGTTACCACACATTTGTTATTTTCACATCAAAATTTCCTTCAAATTCTCTCATGTAAAGTCTTTGTGAGATTTACATTTTATTTGTTCCTAATACTTATTATTGGCATTCATTTCAATCCCATTAACATATTCTTGTAGATTCCATTCTTTGGTGGAGTTTGATGATCGAAAACGAAGCTGTAGGAAACGTCTCGATGGACACAACCGACGTCGAAGAAAGCCTCAGCCAGCTTCTATGGCACTAAATGCAGGAAGATTTCTCTATGGTAACCAAGGTTCGTATGACTAATTTAGGCATGTTTTCTACTTTGGTCATGTTCTACTGATTCCACCATGCTTCCGTGAGTTTCATAATACTATAACGATTGCTCCCATCGTTTTTGTTACCACAGTCGAATGATAAATCGTCAACTTCTTTGTGCAGGTCCGAGATTCTTGCCATTTGGTAATCAACTACTCCCTGCCAGTGATAATGTCAGCTCTTCTTGGATTGGAGCGATCAAACCCGAGAACAACGCCCCTCTTTGCGGCAGCAATACGCAGTTCGGCTTTGCTGATAGAAGAAAAGATATGTTGCCTGGGTCTCTGGCTTCTGATTACAAAGAAAAACAACTAGCAATCTCTTATATCCCTATAGGACTGCTTCCCAAATCATCCAATATCCAGCCATTTCTCGATGTTGGATCGAGCAATGGCGAGAATGTTCAGAAAGTGCTCGGAAACGGATCGAATCGATTCTTCGACTCTGACTGTGCTCTCTCTCTTCTGTCAACACCAGTTGAGCCTGGGGAGATTAATCTAAGCTCCATGGTCCAACCCAACCTCATCCCCCCAGCCCATTTCATCCACAGCGACAGTCTCGGCTTGGAGAGTGACCCCGGGAATTCTGGTTTGGTTTCGGACGGTAGCAGCGATGCAAACATCCGGTGCTACTCGACGTTCCAGATCGGACCTGATGGATCTTCAGTAGATTTATTCAGGTTTTGAAACATGAAAGAATTTGGTCATTCTCTTCTAGGTTCTGAGATAAGATCTATCTAATATGCTTAGGATTTAAAAATCAGCCATTTTCAATCTTTCAATCTCTGCTTTCTTTTTGTTTTGGGAGTTTTAAGATTGTTCCTACGTTGTGTGTTTAATGTCTCTTTCAATGTCTTTAACTTTGTTCAGACTTTGATTATTAATTTTCTTGGTCTATTTAGTCCCACCTGGAATAAAATGCACTTACTCTAATTATTCTAAGATGCATAGCTATTTCAGCAGCCAACAAAACTTCTCCGTCCGCATCACAAATGATTATCCAAAAACCTGCCCTCGCATCGAGTAGTACCTCATCTGAGTAGTTTGGTAAATCTAGAGGCACCTACTGAATCACACGTACAATGAGCTCATCAATTGAACTCTGGTATTTATCGAAGACTAGATTGTTCTGTTTATTCCACATGGCCTATAATACGATGATAAAAACTTCTAGCTCGTCCCAGCTCAACTCCTCAATCGACCTACAAAATAGAGAGGTTAAATCAATACAAGTACCCTTTAACCTTCTTACAAGTTCATAGAGCATGAATTTCAGTTTCTACTTCCCTTTCGCATTGTGGGTAAATCACAGTCTTTTTGTAGAGGTTGAGCTTGGGAGGGAGAGTGCTCTCCGCCCGAAAATTTATATCTTTTTTTGGTACGTCGAGTTGCCACAGTTGTTTCCAACACATTGTGTCATCCTCTCCTATAGATGTAGTAGCTACATTATCCCTCCTCCATGGCTATCTTATACCCGCTTTTAACTGAGTATATTACCTCGTTGTTATAGTGCCAATGTATCCTATTCATAGTTTGCACCCAATGGGATAGCCAAAATCAAATCAACGTCATCCTAAAAAAATATCTCTCACGAGATCACTCTTCCAACAACGGTTCGACTAATCAGATCATCAACTGTGTATTAATCGTGAGAGGCCTCTAAACTTATCAGTCCCTTAATTTTTCTTTTAACAAATTTATAACTTAAGCTAAGTGCATTAATGTGTTAAAGCCTTAAAGGTGCATTAATGTGTTAAAGCCTTAAAGGTGAGTATTAGGTAAGTAGACATTATGTGGTCAAATAATATTGCAACAACTAAAAAATGGTTATCATTTTCAAAGTTTGCCGACTAAAATAGACAATATGAAAGTTTAGGAACCAAAATGGATTGATTTTTTATTTTTCATTTTTAGTTATGAGACCAAAATCAATATTTTGAAAGTTCAAAGACCAAAATTAAACGGACTTAAAAATTTAGGAATAAAAATTAGATTTAAACTTTACATTTTAATTTGATCAAATAAACATTTTTCGTCCATCAGTTTACACATAAAAGAATAATAATTGCGTACGAACTAGTTAGTAGGAATCTTCTTGCTGACCACACCTATAAATTTAATAAGTATTTAATTTTTTTGAAACATAAAATTATTGCTAGCTAGTTAGAAGATAAATATTATTCTACACAAAATTTGATCATGAGAGCACAAGTAATATAGTTGAATCTTTTAGAGATTTCTTAAGAGATATTAAACATGAGACTTATGGTAGAAAAGAAACATGGACAAATTTAATCAAAATTTGCCCCTACTTTGCACTTTCAAGTGAGATTGACCTATTAAATTTTTAGACTTTACATATAAGTAATTTCAAGCTCAAGTTTGACCCTAACAAAAACTTTTAATGGTTAAACTCAGAATTGTTTTGCCAAAGCGAACATAGCTCAACATAATTGGTATATATTTGCATATACATATATATTATCGTATAGAATATCGTAAAAATTAAATAAAAGATTAATTCTATACTGGTAAAAGATGATTCTTTTAGTTACTTGAAAATATTTTCCAACTGTCTTGATTCCTCATCAATTTTAGAAAATAAACAAAACTCATAACAAATGCTCATTTGATTGTAAAATAATACAATTAGTAGGACAGATGTGATTATAAGAAATCTTGTGCCAATACCTATATAACTCCTGTTATTTATTTATTTATTTTTAAATTCAACAACACGTGGGGTGAAAATTCGAACTTATAATTTTCAAGTTGAAGAAATGTGCATTAACCAGTTTAAGTTTGACGATAGCTAGTTCTAGTCTCACATTGTTTCAATGCACATATATTTAATGTATTTTATTCTGTTTTATTTTACTGATTACTCGTTGGGTTTTCATTGTATTTTGAGAATCCAAATATATGAAAGTTCTATATCTAGAATTTTGTATAAAGCTAGAAAAAACTAATCTGTTAAGAAATTGATCGATTGAAGTTACGAGACATCATCGCTTAAAATAAAAAATTATTGTTAATGGAAATGAGCATCATAACTTAAAGTTGTTCCTATAGTGTCACATGAACGTATTTGAGTGATAATTGACACCTACTTCTTCTTTTGAGGTTAAAGGTTTAGATTTACGTATCTCTAATTTGTTGTACTAAAAAAGTAAGGAAAAAAAAAAGAGTCTTTCCTATAGTGTAGATGTGAAAAAAAATTACAAAAAATGGTATGTCTCTAAAAAAAATTCTAAATTTAAAGTTAAGTCTATTGTATTTTGAATAAATTATTTTCTAGAGATGATATAACTAAAATCGTGTCTCTAACCCTCCATCTTGATATCTTACTTTATCTATACTAATTAAATTTGAAATTAATTTTTAAAAATACATAAAAAATTTAAAATTTCACATTTTTCATTTCTTCTATGTTTTTTTTTCAGAGAATTTTTCTTGTAAAATTTTGAGAACAATAATATATTCCACTTTAATTTAATATAATTTAATTTTACACGAAATCTGTTATTTAAATTATATTCTCCTTTTAGTTAGGCTTCTTATAAAGGCAATTATATATTTTTTTAATAAAAGCATAAATCCTGTAATTATTCTAATCTCACCGGGCGCTGCTGTTACTCACCCCAACGACCAATCACACCACGCCACATTACTCCGATACGAAATTAAGAAATTATTTGAAGGATTAAGAACAATGAGATTTTATAAAGTTGGTTGAAAAACTGTATTTCGAATCTATTTCAAACGATTATTAAGAGTAGATAGATTTTAAACTTGTATCAATGACATGCACATTAAATATTGGGTTAGATTATAAGTTTCATCCATGAAATTTTTAAGGGTTAGATTATAAGTTTCATCCATGAAATTTTTAAGATAAATAATATTTAGGTATTTACCATCATTAAAAATTAACAACTATTTATTTTTTTAAAAAAGAAAAAAATATATTTTCTCACTCTTGGTTTATGCATTCATCCCTCTTTGTCATCTTTAATAGTGGTAAGTAAAGGATACATATTCACTCGTAAGTACCTAAATATTATTATTTCGAGATTATTTCTAATTCATTCGTACTTGCGTTTTGATTGGTAGGACCTATGTCAATACTGACCACCATTAAAAATTGGCAGTTTATTATTTTAAAAAAGTTATCTATTTTTGCATTTTTCTCTTAATTATCAAATATTTAACGGTGATCAGCATAATATATGTCTTCTCTAGTTAGGACATAAGTATTTTCCAACTTTTAATATTGTATTTAGCAAACTCTAAGCTTTAAAATGTGTCTTCAAATCTCTTACCATTAAATAATGTTGTGTTTAAAAGAAACTTAACCTTTTAATTTTTTTGGTAAAAAAATTTTAATGCGAAAAAGATATCTGGAAAGTTAGAGATGTATTAGACATATAATTAAAATTTTATAAATATATTAAACATTATTTTTTTAATTTGAGACTTCTATCATACAATTTATAAAATTTAGACATTTTCTAAAAGATAAAATTCAGACATTTATTAAACATAGCTAGAAAGGTTTTGATAACACAGTTATGATGTAACTTACGGTTAAATTGTTATTTTGGATTGTGTACTCTCTATTCTGATTCACTTTAATTGGTTTCTATATTTTCAACAATTGATTATTTTGGTTCCTTAATTTTATTTTTAATCTCGTACTTTTCTCACAATTTCAACATGACATTGTACTCAATATATTTTTTAAAATGTAACAATGATTTTATATTAAAGAATTTTTGTTTGGTGTAGAATTTGTGTTAAAATTTCACAAAAGTGGACCAAAACAGTCAATTTTTAAAGATACAAAAACAAAATGAATATTTTAAAAATTAAAAAACTAAAATAAACTAAAGTTTTTTTTTTGAACACGTGGGAAAGGAGAATCGAACTCACAACCTTATAATTATACATATATGTCAATTACTATTGAGTTACGTTCACTTTAACAAATAAACTAAATTTGAAAGATTTTGAGGGTACACGACCAAATCGAAAAAACTAAAAGGTAGGGATAAAAAAGTATTTTAAACCCAACTTAAATTATTAATTTTTTGGGTCTTATATATAGAGCGACGGCCATGGCTTACTTTAGCAAAACCCCACTCATCTTCTTCACCCGCTCGCCGTCGACGATTAGCCGGACCGGCTGTTTATGCAAGGATATGTATTTCAGATTGCAGTTCGAACTCGGCCTCCGGATCGATCTGAATACTTGGGCGGACCTGCACAAAAAGGTGAGCACTCCGACGATCAAGTCAGTATAGGTCGGATTCCCAGTTTAGTTCGAGGTCAGAAATCATCGTACCTGATCGTGGAGTGAAGTCCTCTACTTATGGGTGGTAGTCCCGCTAATCTCGCGACGGTTACACCCGGTAATCTCGGGACCGACGGTTACACCCGGTAATCTCGGGACCGTCGGTTACACCCGGTAATCTCG